ACTTTATATAGTCGGAGGTGCCTCCTTCACTGCGTTGCAAACTTCTGATTGAAATTATAATACACCGCAAGGGTATTAAAATTTAACACCAGTTGAAGAAGTTGACAGCTAGTTCAAATTAACAAAAATAGAAATTTATTTACCCTTGAGTCTTAATAAAAAAAAATATTTTTATTAAAACAAACAAACAAACTTTAAAATTCTGGACAGTTACAAATACTAATATTCAAAAAGCTGTTATCCAAGAATTAATAAAAGAAATTGTTGCAAATTAGGGTATACAATACAAGAGAGAGTTAAAGTAGAATGTGTTGAATTTGTTTATCAGCGAGTCTTAATAAAAAATCATTTTTACTAAGGCTCCACACGTTGGGCGCCACTTTTCTTATTAATAATAATGAATTATAACTGTAGCGTGTAACCTTGTAATTGTCGGGGTTTTCGAGGATCTGAGCTACTGGCGCACGCTTTATATTCCGGCTCTAGCTCGTCGGCTTTGGGGGTGGAGGTCTTGCTCACCCAGATCTCCATTACTATTAAAAAGACTAGAAATTGAGCGTGCTGCGACAAAAATAAAAGCTAGAACTAAACCGGAAGAAATGATAAACAAAATTCACACCATAAAAAGAAGACAGAAGAAAAGCGGAAGTAGAGAAAACTGAAAAGAACACAGAGAGAAAATTCAATCATTGCGGAGACATTTGGAAAAGTATTTCAGAGCAAATTTAGCACAACAAAATCGGGAAAAACCAAGAAGGCAAAATAGGCCTTAGAGGGTTAAAACCCATTTAATGAACGTCCGGCACTAGCACAGATCCTCACTAATGGAGGTTAAAATTTTCACCAGCCAATTTGGCGGCTAACCCGCATGGTTGGGGTCACTAGGGGTCACTAGGGGTTATTGCCCTGGTTACATAACCTAGGTTTCCCGCAAAACAAAAAAAATCGCCTCTCTGGGCGGCGCCACTGGCCAGCAAATCAGTTGCGCATCCGCGCTGTTGGTCAGCCGTTGCTCAGCGCTGCTCCTTAGGTGTTGGTTCAACTCCCCTTCACTTCATGCCCCCTTGCTTAGGGTGCCCCTTCTTTGGCGTTTTAAATTTCTTGCTGCAGGGCGCAATCTGTAATTTTTAAATTCACACAGTCAGCACTGGATAAAACGAACATTACATTAAAATGTTTACCCGATGGCCGAGCACTGACATAAAGTCGTCTCAATTCGGAGAAAGGCCTTTTCGCCTTTTGGCACTGGCCGTGAATTTCAACTGCCTTGCTGCCTCCATTTTTAACACCTTCCTGCCCTGGACAACAAAAAGGTTATTTACTGTGCCTACACTTTGGCATTCCTATACTCACTTCAGTATGAGCTTTTAGCTGCCACTTTAACACTTGGTTTCCGATACTCGCGAGTCACTGACACTGTCTAATTATTAACAATTATGAGCACTAAACACGTCTATGCTCTACCAGGTCTTGATTTAAAAAGACCCCCCCCAACGGAAAGTCTGCTTGAGCTCCGCAACAGATAACCAAAAATTTCCTTATTGGAAAATACGCTCTTCTTCTTCTTCAGAGCAAATGTGAGTTCGCTGTTAAATTTGCCAAAACGCGTTTTGGTTAAATGCAGCTCTACACATTACGGCACGTGCCGGTAAGCGACCACCTTTACGTTATCGCCAACACTGGTAAAGCTAGGCTTAGGCTTCACATAAACTGTAGAATCCTTCTAGGCTGATTTTTCCTTGGCAGGGTCTTCAGTCGCCACTACAATTTGGTAGCTTCATGTTAATGAGCTTTTGTTTACATTGTATATTCAAAGAGAAACGGTTCGGGAGATGCGAATTTAAAGAGCTTGACCGAAGAAAACTACTGGACCTTTCATTTATTAACCCAAAACCGTTAATATATGGGAACAGCCTTGTAAAGCTGTCGATTTTTTCATTAATTCAGTCGTTTAAAAAATCCATTAGATATTTAGGAGACCAATAAAATTAAAAAAAATTTTAAATCAATTTGAAGTGCAATTACAGAATGTTCCGATCGTATAGATCGTTTTGAAATCGTGAAAATAAAAAACCCTTATTGAATTTACAGCACAACAAGTTTTCCTAAAAAAAGTAATTTTATCACATTTATGGTTAAATATGTAGCTAGAAAACATGACGTATTGAAAACTTTCTAGTTCAGAGGATAAAATAACCTCCGGGAAACTATATATATTTATACCCTTGCAGGGTATTATAATTTCAGTCAGGCACCTCCGACCATATAAAGTATATATATTCTTGATCAGGATCAACAGCCGAGTCGATCTAGCCATGTCCGTCTGTCCGTCTGTCCGTTTCTACGCAAAGCTGTCTGAATGAAACTTTGAAGTTAGTCTTCTATAAACTCTCACTCCTATATATGTCAGAACTGGCCGGGTCGGACGACTATATCATATAGCTGCCATAGAAATGAGCGGACAATTTTTACAAAAATAATTTAACGTTTTCAGTTTTCTACAGAATTTAATCAAATTTGAGACATACACATTTTATATTACTTTACAATTTTGTGTAAAATTTTATGAAAATCGGACTACTATCCCATAGGGACAATAGAGAAATTAATACAATTAAAAATTATAACTTTTTTAGTTTTCAACAGACTTTCATTAAATTTAAGATATAGTCATTTCATATTATTCTACAAATTTGTGTAAGCTTTTATGAAATCGAACTACTATATCATATAAAGTAGGAAAGATCGAAAAATTAATACAATTAAAATACAAAAAAAATTAGATATAGAAAAAAAATGCAAAACTTTGAATGTAAAACTGTAAATATGTATAGGTTAGAAATTAAAGCTGGCATTACTTAATTAATTTTAACACAAATATGTATAATTTATATTGTATCAATTCCTTGCCATCGAAGTTCTATCTGAAAGGGTACTTAAACTTTGATGTGCCGAAGTTAGCTGTCTTTCTTGTTTACATTATTTTGAAGCGACGTAGCCAAAGCTTTGACTACTTATGTACGTTGCCGTCATACTTTGCGTTCAATATAAGGACGTCGTTTGCCTGTTGGACTTTAAATCAGTTTTGAATTAATTCCAAACAGGGTGCCGCGTAATCTTATTAAGCTTAAACGGCTTGAAAACCAAGTTGATGACATTTTCTCGAGACTTTGGAAAGTATTCCTTTGGTTGATGATTCGGGAGACCGCTTGGAACTTAAACTTGACTTTTTTCCATTGTTAAAATAAGCAGGGGTGCGCTTGGGTTTAAATGATGGACGAAGTATTTCAATGACCCTTATATTATTACATTTTTATTTCTTCTTTAGTTCGTCAAATCTTAGATAATGGATATTGCGTTTGGAACCCTCAGCGCGGTGGATTTAGATCAAAGATTACTGACATATTCTAATAGACTTAAAATTTACTTTTTACCATAGCCATCCGTAGATTTTTGCAAGCAATTACTTTTATTTAGAACCTTAGCCGCGACGTGAAAAGTTCTGACTTGTTGGGTCAGTTCATTTTTTACGTAACAAGATCCTATATACCCTTAGTGTTACGCCATTTTTTGCATAGCATGTACCTTTTAGAGTCTTATGAGCAAATTATAATGATTTTTACACATTAAACTGTAACGTAGGTAGTTGTCCTAAACTAAGAAATTTTACCCAAACCCACTCATTACACATTCAAGCAAACAATCTGGCAACGCGCCGGTAGTTTATGTCCTTGTATTCTTTTTCATATTTTCTATGGTGCATTCATACTACTACTAGGTACGTGATTTGTTTCCCAAGGGACAATATATGCTACTGACCGTAGTAGATCAAGGTTTATATATTTAAAAAAGGACACACACAAACACACTCTTTCAATTTATATTTAAAGCACTTTTACATCTGAACATTTTATTTCATAGTACAAAAAAAGCAAAAATAGCTTTCGTTAAAATTTGTAAATTGTGGCGTCCCACGCTTAGAGCATTAGAAAATTTAATAGTAATAAAATATAAATTTACCAAATAGCCAACAAGTCATCAGTTCCTAACGAAAACAATCGTATTACTTTTAAAAACTGTTAAAATTATTATGTATTTCGCGTTTATTACAGAATGTTATATGTGAGCTAAAGCAAAGATATGGCGGTCAACGTAGCGAATGTGCTAGCATCAATCCTTATTCAGCCCCGGAGCGTTCTGCAGCGTGCCCATCAGATGTGGGAGATGACTTGGCATTTTACACTGGGGCGACTCTCGACCACATAATGAACGAGCTGTGCAAGCAGGCAGACTGTTTTAGCGATATTAATCGCAAAAAAAGTTTGGATGACCCATCTATCAATTCATTGGAGGACTGCATGACAGAATTGGGTCGCCTTAGGCAGTTACTTAAAGAGAAAGATCGTCAACTAGATAATCTTATTGTGGAAAACGAGTGCCTGTGCGATGCTGTTGAAAGAAAAGCAAGTGAAGCTTTAGAAACTGAAAACAACTGCAATATTCAAATAATTGGCATGAGAGATTTATTAAAGCAAAAGGACCAACAATTGGAAGACCTTATTGATGAGAATGACTGCCTATGCGATGCAGCTGAACTTGGAAAAAAGAAACTTGATGACTTGGAATACCAAGTACAGAAATTAGACGAGGGCACTAGGTATATGGAGCAAGGTATTGCGGAAAGCATTGAACTGATTCAAGATATTGGAAGCATAGCACAAGAAAACGACAGGCTAAAGGGACAAGTTGGTACCCTCAGAGATAGTGAGGCCCAGCAACTCCATAACCAAGTTCAGGAGCTAAACGATGGTAATAGGTACTTGGAGAATGGTATTGCAGAAAGCATCGGAATTGTTCGAGATATCGGAGATGTAGCGCAAGAAAACGAGAGACTAAAGGCGCAGGTTGGCAATCTTAAAGATAGTGAAACCGGGAAACTTTTTGACGATCTTTCGAAGCAACTCCAAGATTGCAGGGAGAAGTCGCAATATTTGCAGGAAAAAATAAAGCATTGGGAGATGCTTTGCAGTCATTGGGCGTAAATCCAAATGATATTGAAAGGAAAATAACACAAATTCCTTTAACTGGATCTTCTCCAAGTGGTCAGGCTGGAGCGGAAATAGGCGGAACACAAGGAGCTCCAACCAAAACCGGAACGGAACAAAAAGCACCTGGAGCAGAAATGCCAGAGACCCAAGGAGCTGGAAAAAAACCTCTTGTTGAAGGCACCAGCAAACGAGTCGACGAAGCACAAAAAGTCTCCGAAGGAGCGTCAGGAAAACCCGCTGATGCTGCAATAAGACCAACTACTAAGGGAAAAACAGCTGAAGAAACATCAGCTGGAGAAGCAGGCGCTGGAGGGTCAGCCGCAAGGGACCAGCCACTAGCGGACCAAGCGATGGAGGAGCAAACGCTCAAGGAACAGCCACTGCAGGACCAGCTGCTGGAAAACCAGTTGCTGGAGGACAAGCCGCTGGAGGAACAACCTCTGGACAATCAGCTGCTGGAGGACCAGCTGCTGTAGGACCAGCCGCTGGAGGGACCGCCGCAGGAGGACCAGGCTCTGAAAAGCCACCTGCTAAAGGATCAAACAATGAAGGAAAAGCAGGTGCCGGACCAGCCACAGGAGGACCAGGCACTGGAGGATCAGGTCCAGAAGCTGAAGCTGCCGCAGGACCAGCCACTAGATCTGCTGCCGCGCCAGCTACTGGAGGCGCTGCTGGAGGACCAGTCGCTAAAGGCGCAGCTGGACCACCTGGAGGCGCGGCCGGACCAACCGCCAGAGCGCCCCCAGGACCTGCGGCGGGAAATACCACTGGTACTATTTCTGAAGGACCAACTGAAACAGTTAGTAAAAGGGTCCTGGCGCAGTTCAGGGTTTGCAGCCTAGTAAAGGACAAGGGGCTTTGGAAGCCGAACCTCCAAACAGCTTGAGACCTAAATCTGGACCAACATCAAAATCAAAGGAGGGGCCTGCAGGTGGACTACCTTCCGGAGCTGCAGGAAAACGAGTTCCCAATTTATCAGCAATTCAAGAGCAAAAGGTCAAATTCGAGCATCTCAAGTAGGACTAGGAACAGAAAAAGAATATGTTAAAAGGGATTCTAACAAGGCCTTGAAGTCTGAAAGAAGACGATCCAAGAGTAAGGGGGAAACTAGTGGAACCACAGCTTTCAGCACTCGCAGTAGCCGTGAAAGTAAAAGGGTCAACAGATATGGAGACCATAGAAATAAAGGGATGCGGGCCTCGTCACGATGCAGGGACGACGGACAATTCGACGACTTTGTAAGACATACTGTACAATCTTTATCATCCGGCGATGTCGATGGGTGTGGATTGGAAAGAGAGTTGCGCAAGATCCTTGATATGTTCGTCGACGAGTGTGGATTCTGCTTCTGCAAGTGCAATATTCCAAAAAGCCGATTTTATGCTATTTGTCATAAGCTATACCATCACGGCTTACATACTTTAGAATTTAAAGAATTGGTTTATATGCATAAGCGTATATATGCAGCTGCCGAAAATATCCTTCCCGGTTGTTTATTTAATATGATAGTGAAAGAAATGACTGGAGTCACCTGCGCTCCGACTTTATTAGCTTCCTATAATCCATGTCCGTCGTCTGCGACAAAAGCTCTTAAGTGCTGCAGCTGTAAAAACAATATGTGCTGTGACTCTAGTGAAGAAAAGCTAATGCGGAAGGGTAAGTTTCTATTTTCAATCAGTCTTTTATTTTTTATTATTATTTTTCAGTGATGCGTTTGGAAAGTGACATTGAGAATGCTAAGATGTGTCTTCAAAATTTAAAGAGCATCCCATCAAAACTCTCTATTCCACGATGTCGTTTAAATGTCAGTGATTCATCTGTTAAGTACGTAATATTTTAGTACATATTTAATGTGCACCAAATTTATATGTTTTCCATCCAGTGATTTAAAAATGGAACCGGTAATGACACTTTCATTCAGCTAAGATACATTTTTTATGATGTTTAATGAGGAGTCCAAGTAACTAAGTGTATTACATTAAATGTGCATTTATATTTGTTTATTATCTATATTTTTAAGGTGATGGTTAGCATATAATTTACTTATAATAAATGAAATGGATTGGATAATGTATGTTTTAATTTTAAAGGTAAGATGCTATATTTTTGTGAGCAAGTCTAGTTAAGGTCTCCCCATAAGTAAGGCGTGTAAAACGACCCGTGACCTCTGACTGTAAGGCTGAGAGGTTAACCCAGCTGTGTTCGAAAGGTGCCTTCTCAGGGTCAGGCAATCCTGTGTTGGAAGTTTTCTTGCCATGGCTTTGGGACGAAGCCACAGTTGGCAATCTTCAATGCCCCAAACCACTCGGCCGCGCCGCGATTGCCACGTCGTGCAGCGCGGGTGTTTATATGAACATGCTGAACAACCCACAATCCACACCAGATCTCAACGGCTCTGAGCTCACATCTAATTGCCAAATGGTACTTAAGACTCTACGAGCACAGAATCCAGGGGTCTATATGGAGGACTAGGCCATCCCCAAGGCGGAGCGGGAGATAAAAACAAGCCAGCCGTTTCTGTTCCTCGCCAACTAGCGATGCCTAGAAAAACTGAAGAAAACAGATCACAATGTTCGGTACGGCATCAGAAAGGCCAAGGTAAAGATCTTCCTAGCCGAACCGGATGATGTCCTCTAAGACGAAGTCGACGACAAAAAGAATCTGTCTTAGTCATCGACGAAGATAACCAAAACACTTCCTCGCAAAAATTCGAGCAGATAATCCTGAACCGAATCTTGCAGTCCTTTTCCGACATCGACATCGGCTTAGTACAAGAGCCATGGACCAGGGACGGGCACTTCTCTGGCAGTAAATTGGACAGTCAAACTCATGCTACATGGCCCTCGACGACCTGGCAGCGTTCACCAGGGTGGTGCAGTGGGCCGAGGAGAGTAAGACGACGCTTTTCCTCGGGTAAGACGTCTACGCCAAGCACACACTGTGGGGAAGTAAGGTATCACACGAGACGGGTCATTACTTGTAACAAGGCAGAAACGCCAACCTTAATATTTTCAAGTATGGGGGGTTTTCAAAAGTGATCGTAAATATAACTCTCCATATGGAGCACAGCGATTACAAGGTAGGAAAATACGGGGTCTCGGCACAGCCCAAAGTCTTGACTAACTCCAGAATGCTTATGTAAGCGGATGACGTCAAGCTTTGTGTGCAATACAAGAACGTTGTTTGCCAGTCGGATTTACAAACAGATCTCAATAATTTTCAAACTTGGTGCTGTATAAACTTATTAAACTTAAACGGCTCGAAATGCAAGCTAATGACATTCTCTCGTATCGTTCCTAAGCTTGCTACTTAAAAATTCAGTTGATGATTGGCTTTGATTCAGCTTGGACTTGGCTTTATTGATGTGCTTAGATTTATTAAACGATGGTCGAAAGAATTCAATGATCCTTATGTTACTAAATCCTTACATACCTCTGAAGTTAGTCCTAACTTAGAATATGGATGCTGCGTTTGGAGCCCTCAGTACGGCGTCCATTGTAAACAAAAGAACTTTTTCCATTCGCTCTACGCGGCTTAAATTGGCATGCAAACCAAAGATTACCTTAGTAGTATTAAAAGCCGATTTCGGGACCTTTGATGTCAGCAAAGGGTAATAAAAATTCAATTAATGGGCTAGCTATCAAAATTTTAAATGGTTAAAGTAAAAACAAGAAAGGAAGCTAACTTCGGCACGCCGAAATTTATATATCCTTGCAGATAGAACTTCGATGACTAGGAATGCATACAATATAAAATATATATATTAACGTTAAAAAACAATGAAGTAATACCTGCTTTCATTTCATTCACCTATACATATTATATTTTCAGTTTTACATTCACAGATTTGCATTTTTGCTCCACATCTAACGATCGTTTGTATGGCACCTATGTGATATAGTAGCTCGGTTTTTTTGTAACTTTACACAAAATTGTAGAATAAAATAAAATGGCTATATCTCATATTTGATGCAAATCTGGTGAAAGCTGAAGAAGTTATAATCTTTAGTTTTATTAATTTCTTTTCTTCTTATAAAATGGCAATGTATCAAATTTGATAAAAAATCTGTTGAATACTGAAAATGTTATACATTTTAATTGAATTAATTTCTCGATCGTTCCTATGGGAGCTATATGATATAGTCGTCCAATTTTAATAAAATTTTACACAAAATTGTAGAATAATATGAAATGGCTATATCTTAAATTGATTAAATTCTGTTGAAAACTAAAAATGTTATCGCCACCGCGATTGTCAGTCTTCCGACAACAGCCACCGCCATTCTCATTCCTGTCAAATTTCTCGATCGTTCCTATGGGAATTATATGATATAGTCGTCCGATCCGGCCAGTTCCGACATATATACGAGTGAGAGTTTATAGAAGGCTAACTACAAAGTTTCATTCAGATAGCTTCAAAATTGAGATACTAGTTTGCGTAGAAACGGACAGACGGACAGACGGACATGGCTAGATCGACTCGGCTGTTGCTCCTGATCAAGAATATATATACTTTATATAGTCGGAGGTGCCTCCTTCACTGCGTTGCAAACTTCTGACTGAAATTATAATACCCTGCAAGGGTATGAGGGTTAGCTGTCAACCTGTCAATGGATGGGGTAATAAAGATGCAAATTATTAGGGTCAGTGAATGTAAAAGGATACTTGTGAACAAGTGTTCAAGCGCCCCAACAATGTGGATACGAGTGCGAAAGGGAGGGAGAGATCCTGGACCGCGTTGATCCCGTTCACACACGTGGACGTTTACCCACGAATGAATTGATGTTATCGAAGAAATGCTAGACTCATAACGGAAAAATCCATCGTCTGCTCGATCTTTGAGCGCACGTGAACGGTTACCCACGATCCTCTCTTAAAAAAGGGACAGGGTCTTAAATAAGGATACATGTCTTGTATGGGACGGAAAATCCACGCTCGGATTGAGGACGTTCACCCACGATCCTCACTTAAAAAAGGATGGATGTGATTTTCCCTGTGAGATATTTGAAAAGGTGATTTGTTTCCCATAGAATGGCAGTAAACCGCAATCCCCTCATTGAATAAGGATGATGAGAGGGGGTTTTCCCACACTCATTAAATCTCCAGTTGATTGAATGCGTGTGATGACATACACAATTATCTCATCTAAATAGGGGCGGAGGATGAAAAGGATACACTTGTAACAATTTCACAGCGAAGATGGAGCTCGTGTAAAAGTACAGAACAAAATTACAAAAAACTAACAGAAAAAAAATTAATATCATCTTCATCTTCATCATCAAAACCATCACCACCAAAATGTATGCCAACGATCAACAACATCACGATCGATTTTACTGGGTGGACATTCCCAATGAAAACGGACAAAATAAATGTATTCGTCAAACAAACCCCTCACATAAGTCTTAATGTGTTTGAGTATGAGGAAGAAAAGGACACTATATTTGGACTTCTTTTCACAAATGGAACAGAGAAGCAACACTATTTTAATCTGGATGGATTCTGACCAAAACCTGACTCGAGCCTCTGAACCTCTGACTAGAAACCTCTCTCCCACCTCAGAAAAAGTTTTATAGTAAATTAACAGACTCCGAATGATCTGAAGCTGATTATCTTCTTGCCGTTCAGGTTCGAAGTCACTTCAAGTATCGAACTTTAAGAGATTATTTGGAACTCCATCTAAAAATAATTGTTTTGTTGCTCAAATACTTTTTCAGAACTTTAGGGCTAATTGTTCAAATATCAACCAACTCGATCAAACCCATTATTATACAACTCCGGGTTTTTCACGGGATGCGATGTTGAAAACTACAGCAATATTCCTCGAATTACTGACTGATTTTGATATGATTACATATGTTCAGTCTGGAATTCGAGGGGGAATCGTTCAATGTAGTCATAGATATACCAAAGCAAACCACAAATATCTTTAAGATTTTGACCCGAGTCAGAATATTTAATGTATGTGGATGCTAATAATTTGTATGGATGGGCAATGTCGGAAGCACTCCCTTATGGAAATTTTAAATGGTTGAATCAACCATAAATAGAAATGTTTGATATTAATTCTATTTGTGAGGAAAGCGAGTATGGATATATTTTAGAGGTAGACTTAAAATATCCATACTCACTTTACGACGAGCACAATGACCTACTTTTCTGTCTACTACTTTCGAAAACCTCAAAGACTCCAAAGTTATTAGCCGATCTTCGTAATAAATACAAATACATCATACACTATAACATTTTAAAGCAGTGTATGGTTTAGAGCTCGAAAAAGTACATAGTATCCTCGAGTTCAAACAAAACCTTGGCTTAAGAAATATATTGACATTAACACGGAGAACAGGACTAGGACTAACAATAATTTTGAGAAAGACTCAAAGAAAGAAAATAACTTAAAGCGCAAAGACATTCGCCTAGTAACAGACCTGTGGGTCCCCAAGGTGGGCGTCCTAGATTATGTGCGAGGGACTTAATAGCCAGATTCAATTTTAATAATAATTTAGTGCAACAAAGTTTAAAGAAAACATGTATGCGATTCAAATGAATAGACTACATAACGTTTGTAGTAAGCCAATATTCCTGGGTTTTGTAGTGTTAGAGTTATCCAATTGGAAGAAGTATGATTTTCACTACCCATATATGAAACCCAAATTTCAAAATACAGATTCATTTATCTACTCTATTAAAACAGAAGATTTATAAAATGACATTCGTTATGATGTTGCTTAAAAATCTGAAACATCTGAACATCCAGATCAATTGGCTAGGCTATATAATTTCCAGCAGTGTACTAAGTGTACAGTGGTAAGTCTTTATAATGTCCGGAAATATTGTCAAGTGCATTGGAGTTGCAGCTCGGACGGTGGACGATGTAAAAAAAACATCGGCCTGCGTTTCTGTTGTGAGGCCTGTCGCGATGTAGAAAGGGAGATGATATCTTTCATGCGGTAAACCAAAAACGGTTTTAACGGTTTTGACCAGTTTTCGAAAAACTCTTGATATTTTCTTGGCGCTGGACACCCAATTTAATAGCCTTACGCTATTAAATGAGTCTCCCAGGC